GGTCACCCTACATCCCCCTTCAGCTTTTGCCTCCCTGAGTTCCAGGTCCATAGAGTTCCAGGGCCAACCACCCACTGGCCTGCCCACTCAGATGTCTTCCAGACACTTTGCTTTCCGGTTATGAAGGTAGCAAGCCTCTGAGCCTATCTGAGCCCCCGCTAGTAACCGTGACCTTGGAGGACTGCTGTAAGATGCAGCAGTAATGCTAAGCACAGGGCAAGCGCCCAGAATCAGAGGTGAGCATCTCACAAGGCAGATGTAAAATGCACACCCGCCCTTCCAGGTTGGAGTGCCCAGAGCTGGGAAACAGGGCCTTGGCCAGGTTCTCTCACCTTCCCAGGTCAGAGGAGGCAGCTGCTCTCCAAGGTTCTTGGAAGGACCCTTCCCTTTATTCTCTGTTGCATGAAACTTAAAGCCAGTGGGGAATCCTTCCTGTCCTCCAGCATAAGTTTTGGGATTTAAGTGGCAGTCTCCCCTGGAACGGAGCTCAAGGACTTGAACTGACTCTTACTAAAGTGTAAATGACCGACAGCAGATCAGTTCCCAAGAAAGAGCAAGTACCAGGACCCTGGCCTTGGGGTCGGGGGAGCAGGCACCCCCCACCTACAGTCAGCAATCAAGGGGCACCTCCCAAAGGAGGCGGTACAGAACTGCCCACCACTAGGGGGCAGCAGAGCACCAGGGATCAGTTTACAAATACAAAGGGAAGGGTCTGAATTGGTACTTTGATAAGTTGTGAAACTCCTGCCCACCCCGTCTAGGCAGCCCCCTTCTTCCTTCCAATTGAATCCACGTTCTGTCCAAGCATCCCCCAGGTGGAGGTCCAGAATGGGCCCAAATGAATCAGGAACCTCATTCCTCACGTGCAGTTTTGCCCAACTAGAGAAAGAAGCACGTTACACCTTATTCAAGTCATACGGACCAGCCCTAATACTGCTGACTTCGTATTGCCTCAGTCCAGCAGAGTCAGCCTCACCTGGAAGCTCGCTGGAAATGCAGACTCTCAGGTCCCACCGCAGACCCACAGCATCAGACTCTCTGAGGGTAGGCCCAGCAATTTGTTTTATTTATTTATTTATTTAAGTATAGTTGATTTACAATGTTTGTTAATTTCTGCTGTACGGCAAAGTGATTCCGTTATACATACGTATGTTCTTTTTCATTATTCTTTCTCATTGTGGTTTATCACAGGATACTGAATATAGTTCCCTGGGCTCTAGAGTAGGATCTTGTTTATCCATTCTTTTTTTTTTTAAAGCTAGATTTTATTCATTTTTATTTTATTTTATTTATTTATTTTTGGCAGGGTTAGGTCCTTGTTGCTGCATGTGGGCTTTCTCTAGTTGAGGCGAGTGGGGGCTACTTTTTGTTGCAGTGCGCGGGCTGCTAATTGCGGTGTCTTCTCTTGTTGTGGAGCGCAGGCTCCAGCCGCACGGGCTTCAGAAATTGTAGCACACGGGTTCAGTAGTTATGGCTCATGGGCTCTAGAGCGCAGGCTCGGTAGCTGTGGGCTTAGTTGCTCTGCAGCCTGTGGGATCTTCCCGGACCAGGGCTCGAACCTGTGTCCCCTGCACTGGCAGGTGGATTCTTAACCACTGCGCCACCAGGGAAGCCCTATCCATTCTATATATAGTAGTTTGTATCTGCTAATCCCAAATTTCCAATTCATCCCTCCCCCATACCCCCCTCCCCCTTGGCAACCAGAAGTGTTTTCTCTATATCTGTTTCATAGATAAGTTCATTTGTGTCATTTTTTTTTTCTTAGTTGCAGCATGCAGGATATTTAGTTGCGGCATGCGGGATCTAGTTCCCTGACCAGGGATCAAACCCGGGCACCCTGCATTGGGAGTGTAGATTCTTAATTGCTGGACCACCAGGGAATTCCCTGTGACATATTTTAGATCCCACATATAAGTGATATCATATGATATTTGTCTTTCTCTTTCTGACTTCTTTCACTTAGTATGATCATCTCTAGGTCCATCCATGTTTCTGCAAATGGCATTATTCTGTCCTTTTTCATGGCTGAGTAGTATTCCATTGTGGATACATACATCTTCTTTATCCATTCATCTGTTGATGGACACTTAGGTTGTTTAGGCAATTTGGGTTTTAACATCCCTCCAGGGCATTCTGATCGTCTCAGGGTTGAGAACCACTGCTTTCAATGTAGCAGGCAAGATGGTAACACTGGTTCGTGTTCAGTCATGTGTCAATACTGCTCTGAGGAAGAAAAGCCCAGTTTGGTGCAGTTTGCTGCAAGGATGTTGTTCTGGAGCAGGGATCCAGCCTGGCAGGACTCAGCCCAAGCTGGGCCAGGTGGGTGGTTAATGTGAAGGACGAGTGAGTCAGTTATGGCCATACAGCATCGTGACCCAGTCCCTAATCCACTCCCAGGAGGAGGAATTAGAAAGTGGTCTTTGGGTTGTCAGTTCTCCAAAATGAGAACGTCTACAGCTAAAAAGGAAGCCCAGTCCTTTTCCTGACACTAGAAAAGAGGCTGCCCATCAGGGGTGTTCAGGAGGGAGGGGAACCCCCTACCTGGGTTCAAATCCCTGCTCTACATTTAGAAGCTGGGCCACCCTATTCAGTGATTCAACCTCTCTGATCCCCAGCTCCCGCCCTATACAATGGGGGGCGACAATAGTACACACCATATAAGCTTGTTGTGGGGACGAAATATGATAATTCATGTGACACTCTGGCCAGAGTAAGTGCTCAACAAGTGTTAGTGAGTTTTGAATAAATGGGTCGTTTAACTTGTAAAACTCTATGGTTTCCCAGGCAGTCTGGCTGCTCCTTAAAAAGTTATAGGGTTACTGTATGATCCAGCCATTCTACTTATGCACCCAAGAGAGATGAAAACTTAGGTACACACAAAAATTTGCACACGAACGTTCATAGCAGCACTATTCACAGCATCCGAAAAGTGGAAACAACCCAAATGTCCATCAACGGATGTATGGATAAGCAAAACGTGGTCCCTCCACAGAATGGAATAGTATATTGGCCATAAAAAGGGATAAAGCACTGATACAGGCTGCAACGTGGATGAACCTTGAAAACGTTATGCTCGGGTGAAAGAAGCCAGACACGGAAGACCACGGCTTGTAGGCTTCCATGTGTATGAAACGTCCAGAAGAAAACCCAAAGAGACAGAGAGCAGATTAGTGGTTGCTGGGGCTGGGATGGGGGTGGGGGGATCGGAGCGGATGGCTAAGAGTACAGGGATTCTTTTAGGGGTGATGGAATATTCTAGAAGTCATTGTATTGATGGTTGCAAGGCTCTGAATATGCCAAAACCCACCCAGTTGTGTACTTTAAAAGGGTGAATCGTGTGGCGTGTGAATTATATCCCAAAAGAGCTCCTTTAAAAAAAACCCATGTTTTCCCCATGAGACGCCCTAAAGCTATTTTTTTTATTGTTAATGAGGGGCGGGGAGGGAAAGA